AGCTCAGTCTTGATAGCCTCCTCTAGCCCCCTCAGTAGCCCTTGACATACACCACCTCTGCTTCAGGGAGGGAAAACAAGCTAGAGGCTGCTGACAGCGTCTGTGTGCGGAGAAAAAGCACCGTGGTGCTGGTGCCATAGGTGAGTAAGGCTGCGAGAGGAAGTAGACGAGGTTGAAGACTGTGCAGCTCACCTGTGGGGAAGTAGAGATAGTAAAGAATTAGCTATTCGGGACCTGGAACAGCACTGGAGGTTTGGGAGGCCAACTAGATGCTGCTGAGTTTCCATGAGAGAGAGACCGTGACGTCCTGGGACCCCGAGGTTCCTGGGGTAGCTGCTGTCTGCACAATCGCTCGGTTTCCGGCTCTTCAGTGTCTTTTAGTTTTGTTTTCGGGGTTTTGGTGGTGTTTTTTTTTTGGTTTCCTGTTTTAATGTTTCAATTACTTTAGCTTTGGGGTATATTGTAGAGAATGGAAAAAAAAAAACTAAATAAAATTTTACCACAGGAAACGGTGCCCCCCTTTTATTTTTGTAATTTTAGCCAGCGGTCCCCTCTGCCATATATAGTTTGTGTGACCACAGACCAGATTTTAGTTTCAGATATTCACATTGTTGATTTCAGGAGGTTCTGGATATTCCTCAAGGATATCTTAACTCCTGAGCATGACTTCTGCCTGTGTGGGTTGGGGCCTCAGCATGCTTTAATGCTGAGGACGGGGGTGGGGGGGTGCCTGAGACCTAGTTAATATAGTTCCCAGGATAGCAGAAGTGCATTGTGCTGTACATACAGCTTCATATCAGCTACCACCCAAGTGCTTCAGTTCACAAGGATTGAAAAGAAATTTCATTTTTTGTTACTCTTGACAGGCATTCAAGAGGATCAAATCCATAATTCCTGGTAACATTTCCCTTTTCTGCCTCTTGCCACCTGCACTTTCTGGAGATTCTTCTTTGCCAAAACTTGCCCCCACCACCACTCCCTTTTCTTTTTATTTTGTAGAATGACTGAATTCATGGGGGTGGAATGTTCTCTCCTTCCTCTCTCTCTCTGTCCCAGTCACCAAGCCTCAGCACCCCTTCAGTGGGCACCCGTTTCTGGGGGCAGTGAGTTGGGCTGGAGACTGCAGCATTCTCCTTGGCAGGCTGACAGAAGGGGACTCCTGTGAACCTTCTGATGTCCACAATTTTATCCCCTCTCAGCTGTGTTTGGGGAAATGAGATTCAACTCAGGAAATCATCAAAATTGTCATTATGATACTATTTCACGAAGTATCTCATTATGGTGTTTTCTTCTCTGTCATTTTTAAGTTGTAATCCAGTTATTGGCCCAGGCAGGAGTAAATCATTTTTAAATTTTCCTTTTAAAGAGTCTTAATTTTACTTGCTGTAGCAACACTTATTTGAAGATTTACTCAGTTCTATAATTCAGAGGCAGGACAGCCAAGTGGTAAAGTGGGCAACTTCTAGCATCATGTCTTTGTCTGTTTTCTGTTGTTACAACAGAATACCACAGACTGGGTAATTTATAAAGAAAAGGAGTTTATTTCTTACAGTTCTTGAGGCTGGGGCTTCCAAGAGCATGGCACTGGCATCTGGTGAGGGCCTTCTTGCCGCGTCATAAACATGGTGGAGGCATCACATAGCGAGAGGGCAGGAGTGTGTGTGTCAGCTCAGCTCTCTTCCTCTTCTTATAAAGCCACCAGTCCCATCATGGGACCCCACCCTGATGACCCTGTCTAATCCTAATTACCTCCCAAAGGCCACCTCCAATCGTCACATAAATGTGGGGATTAAGTTTCCAGCGTGTGAAATTTGGGGACACACTCAAACCATAGCACACTGCATAGCTCCTGTTTTGGGATTGTAGCTCTCACTTGCTGGCTGAGTCCCATTATCTAATCTTTTTCTCCCTCACAGTTTTCTCAGCTGCAAAATAAGGATGATCAGAGGAATACCAATAAAAATAATAATTAGCATTTTTAGGGCACTTACGGTGTGCCAGACATTGTGCTAAGCTCTTTCCCAGCCTTTCCTTTCAGCCTTACAACAGCTCTGAGAGGCAGATCCTGCTCTATCTCCTATGTTGTGATTCCACGATGATCATAAGAGCAAACATGCGGTGAGCACTCACTGTGTACCAGGCTCTGTTACATACTGTCTTCATTCCTAGATTCAGAAACTGAAGCTTGGGGTGGTAAAGTCATTTGCCCCAAATCACATGGGAACCACGAGGTCAGACTCCAGGGCCTCACAGGAGTCAGTGAGATAATCCCTGTAAAATGCTTAGCTCGGGGCTGGCACATAGCAAAAGCTTACATTGTCACTATTTTAGTTATTGGTGAAGTCATACTGTTTCCTACTAAAACATTGTACTTCCTCCCCTTTGACTTAGAAGCCCCACTCCTAACATTATGAACAGCTTGTATCTATGCTTTACATGGCTATATGGCTATGGCCTGCTTACATGTGACCTCACGAGTCCCGCAAAGTACCGCCTGCCCTGCCCAGATGGCTCCCTGGTACCCACGCCAGCACCCCTGTGATTACACTCCCTGGCCCACCCTTCTTGGCTTGAGTTTCTTGTGGGCACATTGGGTAGAGGGAGGCCAGGAGTGCAGGCTTATGTTCTAGGGTTTTTTTTCTGATAAGTTGATCATGTCACTATTTCTTTCTTGGATTATAGGTGGGGGTTAGTTTTGAGGATGAGGGCAGAATACTAGGGAAGAGTATGTGTAAGGGGGGAAAACTGTCACCTGTAGCAGGTCTCCCTGGAGGCCTGGGCAGCTGCAGGAGAGGCCCTGTGCTCTGGAGAGTTCACCTTGGTTCAGATGGCTCATGTCAAATTCCTCGAGGAGCTGGCTGGTAACTTACAGGAATGCAGCAGGTTAGATGGAGTCTATGACAAATAAAGCACGTGCCCATGGAGGAGAAAGCAGCCAGTCCCTACTTCAGTGACTGCAAGCCCTCCACGTCCGCACACAAATGGGTACCACCCTGTGGGAAGTCAGCAGACGCTCTCAAAAGGCCCTTCAGAGGAAGAAATGCGAATGGCCAGTACATACAGGAGAATCCTAGTCTCATGAATTACTACAGAAATGCAGCCTGACGTGAGAAATTGAAACCATCTATATTAAAATAATGTAGAACCGTAAGCTATAAATAGAAATCAAAGTCTGTGAACCTTGTTGGGCTGTAATGAAATCATAACCAGTATTGGGGTTTAGGGGAATAGGTGCTCTCCTACCTGTGGTGGGAGTGTCAGTCGACAGAGTTGTTTTGGAAGGCACTGGGGCAACATCGTCAAAACTAAAAATGTGCACATCCTTTGATCTAGGATTTCCTCTTGAAATTATCCTTTAGAAAAAGCTGTCATGACTCTACAGCACTGTTAGAAAAGAATATATGCCACAGCATTGTCTATAAAAGTGAGAAATGGGAAACCAAGTTTATCAGTAAAGCAGTGCTTACATATAGGACAGTCTGTACTGAAATATTTTGCATTCATTAAAAAGATTATTGTAGATTTATATGTTCAGTACTGATTTGAAAAGATGTCCAACTTTATAATGAGGAAAAAACTGTAAAAGCGTGTTATATTCCATTTTTTCTAAAAAATTTTTATAGCTACAACAAAAGAACTTATGTATCACATAGGCAAAATTTTAGTTTTCCATGAATTTAAGGATTTGCTAAAAATATTGCACATATCAGAATTTTCAGAGTTGAGAAATCAGTCTGGATTAATAAAAATCTAAATTACAGATATAAAGCTAATAAAGCTTTATGTTTTTAAACATTCATAAAAAGTTTTACCAAATTTCTGGGTGGGAGTAATTATATAAGGATTTGAATAGCTAATCAACTATTCTAAACAGATAAGCACTTGTTTTTGAAAATGTCCTTTCAAGTAATTGTAAAGGCATTTTTTTATTTGCTGGAAAATTCTTTATTGAGAGTGTAAATGCACATCAAATATCCAGATGATAAAAAAAATGCTAAAATTGTACTTACTATGTTGAGGAGGCTTTTACTATGGTTAATCACTGGTATTTTACTAAATCATGTGCTGTGGAGGAATTATTTTGCAATGAATCCGAGGAGGTTTGGCCACTATTCAGAGGTCCTCTTCCTCATTTGTTCTTCAGCATTTTACATGTCCAAACATAACGAGGAATCTACTGAACACAGCAAAATGTTACAAGTGCACCATTTGAGCTCTCTAGGACTATTAGTTTTCTTTCTTGTCAAACCAGGAATCACAGTGTATCTCATAAGCAGCCTATCTAAATCCATCTCATGACTCTTGTTTTTAAGTGGTCTACTTTCTGGAAATGATGTCTATGTGCCTGCTGTTTGAGTCACTCATCCTGTGCTGCTAAAGTGATGCCATATGTGATGGCCTATAATGATTCAAAACTATAAAAACGGGCAGAAGTGGATATTGGAGGCATCGCTAGAGGCCACCTGGTTTGATTGCCCACAGTGTACTGGGGGCCTAACTGAACCCCTGTAATTGTGTGTGGATTCAAGAAATTCAGCAAGAACCAAGTATGTGCCGGGCACTGTGCTTCTGCTTAAAAATTTAATTTTGTCTTTCCCCAGCAGGGTCAGTATTTTCTCCCTCATTTTACAGTCAACAAAATTCAAGAGAAGAGGAATTAGGTTGCCATAGTCATACAGCTGGATAAAGTAGAAGTAGGTTTTTGAATTCAGCTCTGAGAGATTCTGAAGCCCATACTCTTTGTATTCATTATTCCCCTTTAGTTTTGTGGGACAAAGATGTTATATGTAATACTGATTATGGGAAAACTAGGTGTTTCTTTAATTTTTGGATTGAATTTTTAAATACTTTAAAAATTTGATAAAAAATTGATTTATGTAAATCAATGATAGACACTTTACAGGTAAAATGATCCCATCTATATATATTTTTTTCTCTTAAAGTAGACTTGGGTAATTGCGATGTGCCTTTTTTTTTTTTTTTTTTGGTAATTCTTGTAGGAAGTGACCAGGTTCACCACTGGATACTACTTACAAGCCAAGCCTTGGATACCATCTGGAGACTAGGAAAGGGCTCCGTGATGTTGGCAGTTTCATTTCTAGGTGCCGCCCTCTGCTGCTTCAGGAGGCTGCATTTTTACTTAGGGCATCGGCTGAAATGGTATGTCATTATAGCATCTTTAAATTTCAAATACATGCTTGCTATCCAAAGCAGAATTTTGATATTATTGTTCCCTTTATCTTTCAGGTGGATTGGATATCTGCAGAGAAAATTCAAAAGTAAACTATTTTCATTCGTATGTTTCTTTATTCGTAAGGTCCAGAGGGCTCAAGAAGGGAGAGGAAAATTAACCTGCCTTTTATTTTTTATTTGCTCCAGGGAACCTCAGCGTGGAGGCAGAAGTTGATTTACTCAGTTATTGTGCAAGAGAATGGAAAGGAGAAACACCTCGTGCCAAGCTGATGAGGAAGGTATGTCTGTTTATAGAGGTTATGGAAGACATAGAGTTTGTCGAAATCAGGAAACATTCCTTTCTGTTTTATTAAATCCCGACATCAACCAATATCAAAATGTGATGCAAGTAACAATTGTGGCTTTAATTCAAAAGCCAAACAGCTGCTAGACGTTGGCTTTGGGTCTTTTACCTAGAGCTTATATCTTCGAGGACTTAAGTAGATTAGGCCTGTAATGTCAGGAAACTTGAGCATTGTGCTCTTTGTGGCTATCTCCTGGCCTGTTAAAACATCTGCATGTGTGGTGGATACTGTCTTTGAAGGAATTATGCACCCTGACATAAAAATATTTTGAGGATTTTTAGAATTTTCCATTGGACCAATCATGGTAAATATTCCCAGCAGTGCTGCCCAATCTTGTCACTAGCAAAAGGAAAAGGAAAGGTGGTGTGTGGGTGTGGGTGTGGGTGTGGAGGGGGACATTTAAAGTACTCCTTAACATGGTCTTAAAAGTTTATAGTATTTTTCACTGTCGTTAGGTTGCATCCATTATATGCCCAAAGTGACCTACCCTGGTCAATCCATCCAGGATTTCTCAGCTAAAATATCATGCCATAGATCCTATGTACGTGAGAGTCACTTAAAAATTACATGTGGTCACGTTCATAATTTATCATTGTTTCTGTTGTCCACTTTAGTTGGGAGGAACACCTCACTGAAAATAGTGAATTCACTTTTTTTATTCTCTTGTCCCATGGAATTAATAAACAACTTTCTCTTTTGTGCTAATAGGCTTATGAGGAGCTGTTTTGGCGGCATCATATTAAATGTGTTCGACAAGTCAAGAGAGATAACTACGACGCTCTCAGATCGGTGTTATTTCAGATATTCAGCCGCGGCATCTCCTTTCCATCATGGATGAGAGAAAAAGACATTGTTAAGGTATGTCTTCACACTGGAAACTCAGAAAATGTCATGTTGACGATCTCAACTCAGAAACTCCTGGTCTTTGGGTGGCTTTGTGCTCAGGGGATCATGAGATTGAAGAAACTTTTAGAGGCCATTTAACCTAATCTTCTATCTCTCATGTCAGTTTGCAAACAAACCATCTCAGAAAGATAGTCATGCTCAGTGTTCCTTTTGTTTTTTAATGCCACCATCTTTCTTGAGGGGCTTCTCTCTTTTGTAAATAAGGTAATCCAGTAAAATTCACTTTTTCACTCTGTAGTTGTGAGTTTTAACAAATGCATACAGTGTATAACCGCCACCCAAAAGATTCTCTTGAATACCTTTGTAGTCAATCCTCCTCCCACCCTCAGCCCTGGCAATTACAGATCTGTTTTCTTTCCCTCTAATTTTGCCTTTTCCAGCATGTCATATAAATGGAATCATCCAGTATGTAGCTTTTTGAATCTGACATCTTTAACTTAGCATAATGCATTCGAAATTCACCCGTGAATTCATCTGTGAATTTGTAGTTCGTCTCTTTTTACTGTTGAGTGGTATTCCTTTACATGAATATAACAGTGTGTTTATTCATTCACATGGAATGTTGAAGGATATCTGGATTGTTCCCAGTTTGGGGCTACTATGAATAAAGCTGTTATAAATATTCTCATATAGGATTTTGCATGAACATTAGTTTCCATTTCTTTTGGGTAAATCCTTAGGAGTGAGATTGCCTGGTTGTATGCTAGGTGTATGTTTAACTTTATGAGAAACTGCCAAACTGTTTTTCAAAGTGGCTCAGCCATTCTGCATTTCCACCAGCAATGTATAAGAGTTCAGTTGCTCCACATTCTACCAGCACATGGTATTGTCAGGTTCTTTGTTTTCTAGCCATTCCAATAGGAGTGAATTGGTATCATTGTGCATTTAGTTTGCATTCCCTAATGAGTAATGATGTTGAGCATATTTTCGTGTGCTTATATGCCACCCATGTTATCTTCTTGGAAAATGTCTGTTCAAATCATTTGCCCATTTTTTATTGGGTTGCTTTTTTTGAATTACTGAGTTTTAAGAGTTCTTTATATATTCAGAATATAGTGCTTTATCAGATTTGTAATTTGCAGATATTTTCTCCAAGTTTGTGGCTCGTTTTCTTAACGTAAGGTAGTACATTTTTGATGAATAACCTTAATTTGTATTCTGAATGCAATATGCGTAATCTAGAATGTATATTTAAGAATGGGAGATCAAAGAAATATAAAGCACATGTGTATAGAGGTACATGAGTCCTATTTCCTTAACGTCTTTTATTTAAATTTGTTTTTATGAGTTCCCTTTAATCTAGCAGATGCTTATTGAGTGTGTGCAGTATGCTAGCCCTGCTGCTATTGCTGAGGACAAAGATACAAACACACACAGAGGGTTGTATGGGCTCAACAAGCTGAGTTGGGTGGGAAAACATTGGCTACCTACAAGTGATCAGATTCTTACATACACCACAATCTTATTTAATCCAAACAAAAGCCCTATAAAATGGACAATGTTATCCTTAATTTACAGTGGAGGATGAGGCTGAAAGTTGAAATAATCCATGCTGGTTAAGTAATCTGCCAGCTGGTGAGTGACAGCTAGATTTGAACCTTAGAGGGCATCATTCTAAAATCTGCCTGTTTCTTGAGGTACTATACTACCGGAACATCATTTGGTTAAAAATAATTTCTAAAGGGCTACATCTGTGAAGTTTGGTAAGTATTTTATTCAAAAAGATTATTTCTATGGACACAATTCTTTATTTAGGTTTTCATCACTTGTGAGATTATGAAGTAAGAATTTGATCTAAAAATCACTTAATCCACAAATAAAAAAAAAGACTATATGCTTTTTACTTAACTGTTATAGTCTTTTTAAATGGAGATTGCTAGATGAGATAAGACTGTGCTGTGTCATATTTCGAGTTGTGTGTAGTAAACGTTGAGATACTAATCATTGTTGGCATCTACTTCCTTTTCAAGCTTCCTGAAAAACTGCTGTTTTCACAAGGGTGTAATTGGATTCAGCAGTACAGTTTTGGTCCTGAGAAGTATACAGGTTCAAATGTGTTTGGGAAGTTACGTAAATGTGTGGAATTATTGAAAACACAGGTGAGTGTTTGGGGGAAAAAGAGAAAAAGACTAAGAGACTAAGAATAAAAGCATATATCCCAAGTATAGCCAGTTTTCTCCAATGCCAGGCATATCACTTTATGTTAGGAAAGTGAGACATGCAAGCAGAAATGCTTCTTCTAGTCACTAATGGTTTCCTTTCCTTGTTCTTCTTTCTCCTTCCAAGTAATGAATGAGAGCAACATTGTTCTACCTGATAATTAGGCTTTTTGTAGGGTAAGGAGGCTTCTATGGGCTAGCCTGGAAACCTTACTAATCATTTACCTTTGTTTCCCCAGAAAAATGTGGTGCAAGATCCAGACAAGGTGCTCAGAAATCTCTTCTGGAATGCACCTATTGATAACTTGGGAATGGCACAGATGTAATAATTTGACTAAGAGTTCTTCCTGCCTTTTTTTATTATTTTTTTTATTTTTAATTATTATGGGTACATAATAGTTGTATGTCTTCTTGGGGTACATATGATGTTTTGATATAGGCATACAATGTGAACTAATCAAATCAGAGTAATTGGTGTATCCATCACCTCAGGTATTTATCATTTCTTTGTGTTAGGAACATTCCAATTCTATTCTTTTAGTTATTTTAAACTATACCCTAACTTATTGTTGATTATAGTCACTTTGTTGTGCTATCATATATTGTTCATTCTAATTATCTAACTATAATTTGCATTCATTAACCACTCCCACTTTATCCCCCCTTTCCCCACTACCCTTCCCAGCCTCTGACATCTATCATTCTACTCTCTGTCTCCATGAGATCAATTATTTTTAATATTTAGCTCCCCAATATGAGTGAGAACATGCAAGATTTGTCTTTCTATGTTTTGCTTATTTCACTTAACATAATGTTCTCCAGTTTCAACCATGTTGTTACAAATGGCAGGATTTCATTCTTTTTGTGGCTATATATTCCATTGTATATATGTATTACAATTTCTTTATCCATTCATCCATTGATGGACACTCAGGTTGATTCCAAATCTTGGCTATTGTGAATAGTGCTGCAGTAAACATGAGAGTATAGATCCCTTTTCAATATACTGAATTACTCTCCTTTGGATATATACCCAGCAGTGGGATTGCTGGGTCATATGGTAGTTCTATTTTTAGTTTTTTGAGGAACCTCCATACTGTTCTCCATAGTGGTTGCACTAATTTACATTCCCACCAGCAGTTACAAGGGTTCCCCTTTCTCCACATCCTCCCCAGCATTTGTTATTGCCTGTCTTTTTGATAAAAGCCATTTTAACTGGGGTGACATGATATCTCGTTGTAGTTTTGATTTGCATTTTTCTGATGACTAATGATGTTGAGCATTTTTTCATACACCTGCTGGCCATTTTTATGTCTTCTTTTGAGAAGTGTCTATTCAGATCCTTTGCTCATTTTTTGATCAAATTATTTGATTTTTTCCCACTGAGTTGTTGGAGCTCCTTATATATTCTGGTTGTTAATCCCTTGTTGTACAGGTAGTTTGCAAATATTTTCTCTCATTCTCTGGGCTGTCTCTTTACTTTGTTGACTGATTTCTTTGCTGTGCAGAAGCTTTTTAGCTTGATGTGATCCCATTTGTCCAATTTTGCTTTGGTTGCCTGTGCTTTGAGGATGTTACTTAAGAAGTCGTGGCCCAGACCAATGTCCTGAAGCATTTCCTCAATGTTTTTGTTTAGTAGTTTCATAGTTTCAGGTCTTAGATTTGAGTCTTTAATCCATTTTGATTTGATTTTTGTATATGGTGAGCGATAAGGGTCTAGTTTCATTTTTCTACACATTCTTTCTGCCTTTTAATAATGACACAGATTTTGGATAATTTGGAATGAATCGTGGGCCTACCATCTGCTAGATTACATTGGGAAATATCTTAATCTTTCTGAGCCATGCTTTTCTTATCTGTAAAATGGAAATATGAATAGTATATACCCTGTACAGTTATTCAGTGACTTAGTACACATCTAGTGCTTTAAACTGTGCAGGGTACATGGCGAGTGTTAAAGAATGCTGGCACTATTCTTTTCTGAAATATCCTTTGTATAACCCAACTATCCTAAGCAGTTTTAGAAAACTGATTGCTTAGTACAAGTAGGTGGTACTGTTTTGAAAAAATATTTTATTTAAACTAGTTTGTTAATGTAAAAGTTTTATATCTATATCTATATATCTATCTATATATATATCTTTCTGTCTTAGCTTGAGCTGCTATAACAGCCATATAACAAAATACCATAAACTGGGCGGCTTAAACAACAAACATTTATATTTTACAATTCTGGAGATTCGAAGTCTGAGATCAGGGTGCCAGCAGGGTGGGGTTTTTGGTGAGGATCTTCTTCCTGTCTTATAGACAGTCATCTTCTTGCTGTGTCCCCACGTGGTGGAAAGAGGCTTGTTGGCGTCTTCTTATAAAGGCACCAATCTTATTTGTGAGGGTTTTTCCCTCATGACCTAATCATGTCCCAAAGGCCCTACCTTCTAGTACTATCACTTTGGGATTAGGGTTTTAACATATGAATTTTGGGGGAGACACAAACATTCCATCTGTTGCAATATACTTGTGGTTTAAAAAAAGGAAATAGTGCCAGAAGATAAAAAGAGTTAAAGATCCAGTCTCTTCTATTAATCTTTGGATTATTTTATAAGTACTTTAAAAATTATGCATTGGTGTATATAGTCACCTTTACCCTTCTAAATTTCACTTTTACATCTGTGTTTTTAGTGGACTGAATTTAATGGAATTAAAGATTATCACAAGAGAGGGTGTATGTGCAACATCCTTTTTTCTGATGCCATTCTGGAATATAAACTTTATGAAGCTTTAAAGTTCATCATGCTATATCAAGTCACTGAAGTTTATGAGCAAATGAAGACTAAAAAGGTCATTCCCAGTCTTTTTAGACTCTTGTTTGCCAGGGAGACATCATCTGATCCTTTGAGCTTCATGATGAATCACCTGAATTCTGTGGGCGACACGTGTGGACTAGAGCAGGTAAATGGGGTGGAAGAACCACATGTGTTTGATTAAAGATGTTATGTATTCAGCTACTTGAACATAAAGGTGTTTGGGGGTTACTTTCAGCAGTGATATAACCAACTGGACAGAGGTGGTTGGTTGATATTATTGTCCCTAAAATGAGGAAAAGAAGAGTAATAAACCTCATTACTCTGTGCTGGTTGCTCTGTGTCTCCCCAGACCTGGCAGAGAGGGCAACCAGTTCTGGGAGCCTTTCTGACCTCTCGTGCTGCTTCTCAGATGATAACAGGTTCTCTCACACAGAGGTTCACCAGGAAAAAGTCCAACTGCAAAATGAAATAACATTGGGAAAGCATTTGGTTACCTATTGCAGATAAATAGAAATTAATTGACATTTTTTTAAGTCCAGAAAATCCTTTTATCCCCATAGAAAAGGGTTTCTTTTTATTGTTTTGCTTTCCCAGAGGGTGAACAAAATTATCTAACGTTTTTACACACATTGATTTAAAATGATAGGTTAGAAAACATTGCAGTTTTTATTGTGAGCGTTGCTTTCTTTTTCATTAATTTTTTTATCCAAATAGCTTTTTCCTGTGATTTCTTCACACTAGTCTCGAGAGATGTTCCTACGCTTGTCCCCTTCCTTCCACACAATGGACATTTGTTCCTAACTCTGTGCCCACTCAGTGGTTCACGGGTAGGTCTGTCAACAGTAGATTATTTCATAAACTGCAGAGGAACACTTTCCCCCGCCGTGGTGGGAGGCAGGAATTTGAAAGTGTGTAGTTGTGACTTCTCTTTCATCTCATCCCCAGATTGATATGTTTATACTTGGATACTCCCTTGAAGTAAAGATAAAAGTGTTCAGACTGTTCAAGTTTAACTCCAGAGACTTTGAAGTCTGCTACCCAGAGGAGCCTCTCCGGGAGTGGCCAGAGATCTCCCTGCTGACGGAGAACGACCGCCACTATCACATTCCCGTCTTTTAAGTCTGCCGGGGGCCAGGTACCAGCACTGGCCAATGGCAGTGGTTACACTTGAAAGTAAAGTTTTTCTCTAAAACCAAAGCTAGCATTTCAGCCATGGAAGGACTTAGGACCTTTTTCTCCAAAATCACAGGTATACTGGATGGAACAACGCACGGATGGTTTTCCTTTATTTTTCAGTGATTTCCTCCAGAGCAGCTGCACTGATACATTTGGGAGTTGGTGATTGACCTTGTCCATGAGGGATCTGGTCACTTGACACGAAGGCAGGCCTTTAAGAGCACAAGGAAGTTTAATATGGACAACAGGAAAAAAGCAAGAAGAAAACATGTAGGGAAAAATGGCTAACATGGAGAGAATTTATCCTTTTTAGTCTTCACTAAAAATCTTATTTTGGACTGATTTTAGAACATCATAAACATGGGCTTATTTTATAAGCATTACCTTCCCAGGAGTCTTTGTTGTATATTAATTTCCTAGAACCACTCGATTAATTTTAAAATTACGTGTATGTGTGTATATACATATATGTTTATAAATACACATATGTATACATGTATAGTTTTATATATATAATATACATACATGTAGACACACAAACAACCACTACTTTATAATGTTGTACAGTTCATTTTAGATCTCTTTACATTTTTTTGTTACTGCTGTATCTGGCCAGCTTAATAGGTTTTATTTAGACAAAAAAAGATAAATTCTGTAGATTAAAGCAACCGAATGACAGTTATTGAACTGTTGCAAAAATATTAAACTGTGGTGTATTTAATGTGTATTTAATGTGTGGAATCTCATTATGGTGGGCAGAATGACTGCCCCCACCAAAGATGTCTGCGTCCTCATCCTCAGAGCCTGTGAATATGTTGGGTTAAATGACAAAGGAGAATTAAGGTTGCAGGTGGAACTAAGGTGCTAATCCAATGACTTTGAACGAGGGAGATTTTTCTGGATTCTCCAGGTGGGCCCAGTATAATTAGAAGGGTCCTTAAAAGTGGAGGCAGGAATTAGAAGAGTGTCAGATTCAGAAGGAAATGTGAAATACAGCAGAATGGTGAGAGAGAGATGCACCGTTGCTGGCTTTGAAGGTGGAGGAAGGGACTGTGAGCCAAGGAGTGTAGACGGCCTCTAGAAACGAGAAAAGGCAGGGAAGCAGGATCTTGCCTAGAGCTTCCGCAAGGAACACATCCCTGCCAACACCTTGATTCTAGCCCAGCGAAGTCCGTGTCAGACCTCTAACCTACACAACTGTAAGGTAACAGAGGTGTGTTTAAGCCTCCAAGTTTCTGGTAATGTGTTATGTACAGCAGCAACAGAAAACTAATATTCTCAGGCTAACTAATTTTGGGTCATCTTTATTTTGGAAGTACTTTTCTAATTTAATTTGGTAATTTTTATTTTAGAGGTACTTTGCTAATCTGTTTTGAGTTTCAATAAATACAAAATAATTTTTAAAATCTTGCTAATGACATAGCACTTCAAACTCACACATCCGTTTCTAAGAGTGACCTAACAAGATATTTGGCACTAACATTTTCCCACGTGTTTGTATTCTACAATAAATTTAAAAAGTGGTGTGTTAAATACTGTGGTGTATGAAATTAACATTCATATTCTTTTGCAGTGGGGGTGATCAACTGTGTGTACTACATAAGCCAGATGTTCGATAGTGAAGTGTTCCTGCTGTCATCTTGTTTTCTGGTTGAAGATTAATTAACACAAACTAGAGTTCTTAATTGACCTCTACAGTCCCTTTCTGTTTGGAAACATCTGTGTTTTATATAACCTGGTCATTGAATTAACAGTGTCAGAAGTTATCCCCTTGATGTGTTACCGTGACCACGATCGCACAAACTCTACCCTTTCTGTCCATGGGCAGGCACGGTGGCAGCCTGCTGCTGGCTGCTGTGGCTGATGTTTGTAGAATTGCTGCTCTGAACTTTTGGTTCCACTTGAGCTATCCAGGGACCTCCCTGGCATTTGGGTATTAACACACATCTTGGATCTCCTTGCCCAGTGTAATTACTTCCACATCAATCCAGGACTGAAGGGAAAAACTCTCCACAGGGATTGGCAGCCTATAGCTCTGTGTCGTCAATCAACGCATTATGCTTATCCTAACTGTGTGTTGGAGGTGGGGGCAGTGGGGCAAGAATTCTTTAAATAGAAAACCAAGTTGTGAAAAAAGAGGTTTCCATACAATGAAAGTAAAAAAAAAGACATTTAAATACTTGCTATGTTTGGGGAAGACATCAAAACAGAAGGTTTTCAGGGCGGAGGTATTGGGTGTTGTTTTGTTTTTTCTTTGTTTTTATTCAGTTGTGTAATGGACGTAACAAACTAAGTAGCCAGACGGAACTACATTTAAATTGGCACCACTTTTAAATGTCAACAATAAATTGGAGATGAACTTTCTGTGTGACGCCAGCATTTAAATGTCTTCCGAACCGTATATGTTTTAAATGATGAGAAAACTATAGTAAAAATGAAAATGTAAGGCCCTTGTCCTTTTCTGATTTTAGAATAAGTTTCTCTCTTAAATTTTGGCCATATGTGACCATACTGAGAGGTTGTATGGATATTAGTGCAAGACTGACTTTTATTGTGGTAAAATATGCATAACAAAATTTATCATTTTAATCATTTTTCAGTGTACAGTTCAGTGACATTAAGTATGTTCACACTGTTGTGCAGTCATCACCACCGTCCATCGTCAGAACTTTTCTTTATCTCCTAGACTGACTTTTCCCGTGGGAGGTGACTTTAATACCCCACCTGGTACCTGGATTTCTTTTACTGTTCACACTGTCTTTTAATTATACCCTTCTGGATATTTCCTCTGGGCTTAAAAGACCCTCCGTGGAGAAGTACAACATAAGGGAGGTTTAGGTGACCAGATGGATCAGGAAAATCGTGTTTATCTCCAAAGTAAAGCAACAACTATGGGTGACTTTTGGGTTCAACTTAGGAACACTATTATTTGAAAGTCCCCAAGAAACTGTTAACTCAAGGTCATCCTGGAGACTCGAATTTCTTGGATGTGGGTCTTAATGGTCTCCAACCAAAGTCATTTCCACCCGAGAGGGGTTCAGGTGAAAGCCCCAGGGCCTTCTCTAGGGTACAGAAGAACCCCAGACTGAGCTGGTTGTAGGATGGGCTCAGCCCCCTAGAGAAAAGAGCAGCCCAGATCAGGGGACATTTACATTGATTTTCCCAGGACATTCCTACAAATGGGTTTTGGATGGAAATGTTTGTTATTGTTCTCAATCAGGTGATTTTCTCCTATTTTAGTGAGACCAAAGAAAGACTATTTTAATTTTGTTCAAGCCAATCTTGGGGATGGAAAAAAATCTAACTTTTTGGAATACTCTTGAAATGTTGGAATTCCACATCTAAGTAGGTAAATGTTTTTAATTGATAACTAACCCAATATGTGAAAATCTATACAAATATGAATAAGAGGGTGACTAATTCTGAAATTAACAGTTTTCTTTTAAGTATTAATAGCGAATTCCTGAAGCTGTATGATTCTGTTTATAAGAACATGTTTCACACTGCTTAACAGACTGGTGACTGTGTAAAATTAACTATATGAATGTATTTTTCATGCATCTAAAACTTTAACTGTCTATAGGGTTGCTTGTCATAGTTGAATATTGATTAATTACCTTATAAATATTATTGATTATATTTTGGTAGACTTTTCTCTATAGTCATTCACTTTTTTAAAAGTTTTAATTTATTTTAATTAATAACATAGTCATTCACTTTCTTTCAAATCTTACTTTTACCACAATATGTGTTTCACAACTAGACACAAAATTAAATGGGTCCAAATTGTACAATTGCTTCTATGTTATTGGTTCAAAACAGTTGGGTCTTCCTTGATTCACTTTTGTTTCAATTCTGTTATATTCCTTTAGGCCAAGAAAATGAAAGCTTATCTGGATGACATTTATGCTTAATATCAACATGGCTTATAAGTCAATGGAAAAACCACTCACATGCTCAGCCACCCTGGACTGAAGCGCTCCGTAGAACAGCCAGAAGTGTACACCATGTCTCTGCACTTGAAGCTCATGGAATGTGTTTGAGGAGACTTGAGCTCTGTGTGGAAACTGTGGCCCAACAGCAAGGGTGGAGGAGGGCTGGATGAGCAGACCACCCGTGGAACGGTAAAGTTATATTCCTAGCTGGTACCTCTGGGAGAATACCACTCTCTGTTTAAAAAATCAAATTTCTGTTTTTTTGCTGTTATTGGTCCAACCAAGGCCACTATGTGAGGTTGTTCGGGGTGCACCTTGCTCAGTGGTACCTGAACAAAGAGGTGAATGGGGGCTGAGACTTCTCTCCAAGCCATGGCCCTTGAGGGAGGGGACAAGATGTCCACTGCACCAGAGGAAGGGGTGTCTTTTCTACCAGTGAGGCTCAGTCCACTGGCCAAGCCCTGCACCAGTGCGGAGCGTGGGGTGTCGGGGGGGATGCTTTTTCCTAATTTGTATAAAGGCCTGTTGGCAGGAGTTGGGTAGGGGAAATCCTACAGACTATGAGGACAGGAAGTACAGCCAGTCCTCACTGGAAGTTGCCTGAGACCTGTAAAGTCAAGAATTAAGGTTACCAGCTGCGTCCCTCATGGTCCCTCAGGTCTCATCTCAAGATTGCTCTGCCTCACTCTGTGTGCATCTTCTCCCTCCTTTCCCTTGTCTTTTTGTCTTTCTCCATGTATATCCCCCACTCCTCATCCAAGGCATATAAGGCTGCTCCTACCACTGAACAGAATTGTTCACTAGTTCAATTTTTTGAAGCAAAATCTGATCAGCTCAGCCTACCTATGGCCCTTGAACCACGTGTCCTTCTCTATCCAATCATCTGTGGCCACTGCATGGGGAAAGGGAGCCCCTGGCGCAGATTCACAGTTTCTGGGAAGTGCACGTGAGCAGGACCACACATCAAACCGTATCTAATGCATGTGCTTGTTAGGCTTTTCACAGCTCAGGTGTGCACACGAGTGACCTTTAGTGATGGCAGATGAATCTAGTCCAGATTAGCACATAATTAAAGTTAGTAATCAACCAACTAACATCCTCACTGATAGAATTGTTAACCAGTTCATTAGAGAGGAACAAAGACAAGTGCCTTGTGACACAGAAGTCTTAGGGTAGTAGTCACACAAGGTTGCCCTGTGGAGTAGCATTCTCAATGGTCAGGGTAGAAGATGGAAAGAAAAAAGTTACAGTTGCCCAGAATAATTCCCCTTCATGGGCAGGTTTGTTGATGGTGATCTGTTTAAATAGCTTAAAAGATACTAATGTGCTGTTTTTAAAATGCAAACAAAAGCTCTGTGAGCTTCATTGTAGCATTTTGACGGAAAATGTATTACGGTTCTCTTTTGTCCTCTAAGCGTTATCTAAGCACATTTTTAGCCACCTTTTAGCCTGCAGTTGGTTAGCTATGTTTGCAAAGCATTCTGGCTCCAGTGCTTGATCTTCATGTTGCAAACTTTGGATCTGTCGTTGTCAGCTTCCTCCAGGTTCCATGATGACTTCCTTAATTTGTTGTTCTCTTTGTGCCATGGGTAGTGAGTTCTTACCGGCAGTGAGAAATTAGCTCCTCCACTCCTAAGCGTAAACACAAAGGTCAAATCTGATGGTCTGAAGCTTCACGCACAGAATTCCCAACAGCTCTATCACAGGCTAGTTTTATGTTTACTCTAATGAGATATTTTCCCCCATATCTCTTATGACTTCTACAGGATATTATATTTCTTAAGGTACATCC